TATCATACATGCTGACCCTGAAAATGAAAGCCGTGAATGTGCATGACTCGTGCGTTGTTGACGCGTATTGTTCTGGAAATTCGATTTACCTGTGCAAATGTTACTATAAATCAAGGGATAGGATTTCCATTGTTCAGAGTATCTGTTGGTACCAACTGCATTTCTGGTTCATGGGTAATCAGAAAATTATTATTAATTCTTTGATGTTGCTTAGATACTATTGGAAATGTCAAACTAGTGATAATGGTCACAACATTCATAAAGGTGAGACCATGTCTTTCACACACTCCGATATTACAGAACTGCTTCCAAAGTCAAGATGTATTGAATTACATTATTCGCGCTTCAGCTGTAAGCGTAACAGAGGAGGTAGTTAAACTGTCAGATGGACTTCAATGATGAATTGCCGTCCTACTATAATTTCAAAGTAAAATATTTTGGCTAATTCCCCCCGAGAATATGGCTTCCCTCAAACATGTTAGAAAGTATTTCAAATTTAGATTTATGGTAATCCGCAATCCTTTTGGGCTTGTTGTAACACACTGTCTTTATCGGAGAATGTGCTTCATAAACTATAATTGGGAAAACAATTATTTAAATGAAGCAGATGTTTCCAATTAACGACCAGTTTTAAGACTCTCAATAGAAATAATATTACGAAGGTATTTGATAGCTCCCACGGTTCACAAAAGGAATGTAAGTATAAGTTAATAGATGTAATTTCAAATAACTTGCACTTTATCAACTTAAATAACAACTCCATTCTTTTAATTTACGTGTTATTAAGCAAATAAATAGAACCTGGGGAAAAACGACAATTTTTATCTGTTTTATTCAAAGTCGTTAAAAAGAGAACCAACCGTGAATAAGATCTGTCCAATAAACCAAGGAAGCATTCTCAAAGAAAGTCACCTTATCCTTTTCCGGCGAAATTTATGTTCCGCCTAAATAGTACATAAAAGTGTGATGCCAGTGCACCCTGAGAATTTGAAAATTTATCTACCTGCAGTTATGAAGATCCATAAAAATGCTCATTGGCAAACGTTCCAGATTTATATTGTTAAATCTACCGTCTTTTACACCTTGTCCCATCCAGCCGACCTACAAACAAATGTCATCATTTCGATAGACAAACACAAGTTAACAGATCCAACATTTTTCGTGTTCAGCTAATTATTTCACGGTAATAACAAAGTCAGGAGCAGCAAAACGACTTAATGAGATGTCCTCCTATTTTCAATTTCATTAGGGAGGTATTACCCGAATATGAACTGCATGTGTCTTTCGTAACAACGTAATTGGTTAATCAATCAATCTGATACTTCTCTTATCCACTGTCGATCTGCTTGAACAATAAAAAAGCGGGCACAATTATGGATATGTTTAACAGATGGCAAACATTGTAAACAGGTAGCTGAATGAATAGATGAAAAGTGATTCATCATTCAACGTCAACTTTGAAACATTTATCTGAAAAACCTTTGAATTATTATTGATGATTTCAACGACAATGACTATGTATTGAGTATATAATACTGCAGTAACTCAGGAAACAATTATTGAACGTGGTATTTTAATACTATGGCTTATTTGTATGGATTCACTGATTGTCTTCGACTGTTTAAATATAGTACTGGTTGAAGTCAATAATTTCCCATCCACTAAATATGATTTGTAAATCACTGACATCAATGCAGTTTGCTTATGATAAAAAACAGTTTAAAACATCTTGATGTTTCTGGGGTCTGTTGTTGCAATATTTTCTACGCTTCATAGAAATTATCTTGGGAGTAAATTCCTCTAAGGCTCTATCAACTATCTACCCAATAGCACTGCATTATCCATATGATAAGTAATTTAACGGGAATTTCTGCCCATAGTTTCTTAATATCTATTAGGGGAACTGTCTCCGGACGTTGAGTGGAATACAGAGCGTACGCAAATGGTGAGCTAAGGCTAACTTCTCCACTGCCGGGTCTTTTGATTTTGCAATGTAAGCTCTCTTACAACGATCGATAAGTTCCTCTGGGTATCCATTTTTTAGGAACGTTGACTTAACTGTTGCCAATTCATCATTCCCTGTGACAGTAAAACAAATTCTTACACGATTGGTGATACACTGGATACGCTGCGCTTACACCGCATTAGGACAAAACTATGTGCTGTAATGTAATGTGCTGTAATTGGTCAGTAGATAAAGCATTGAAACCAAGCCTGTTCGCCACATCTCTGTTTTTCTAAATGAAAATATTGCGAATGGAGTATTACAAAACCTGACACTAAATTCCCCAGGTTATGGAAAATATAATTTAAATGGAAACTATAAATCAGTCGAAAAACCATGTTTTCGTTTCTCTTCAAAAGCAACCAAAACCGGCGCACGAAAGTGCATGGTNTAATGGTTGTTCAAACTGAAACTGAAAACTCCGATCCGAACACAGTCCTCATCAATTTAATACCATAGTCCCTATACATTTATTTCTCTTTACCTCAATATTATTCTATCATTGTTATTATTCATGATGCTTGAAAGTTGGAGACTATAGATAAGTGGTGACTGTTTTCAACATGATAGCTGTCTGTTAAAGTGCTATGCTTTTAAATGGAGTTAGAGTTAAAGCTAAAATGTGGAGTTTCTTATTTCCACATATGTTTCGGGTGGTTCCATTTTATTGTATACGGAACACAAAGTGTTTAATCCCACAGAAGTATTATTTGATGATTGACTAAAAGTATCTTATTGTATTACAATAATATAGTCCTTATCGAACCGACAGAGCTGCATTTCCGTCAAAAAAACGTAACTTTGTCGAATAAAAGATTCATCCTTAGCGGAATAGCCACCCTGCCTACAACAAAGAAGGATCGGGCTCACATATGAAATAAAGTATTTTTCTAATATAGTTATTGATCATAGTGGGAGTGAACAAAAAACTGGACCTAGTTGAAGGATGGAAATAATAGGCAAACAATTTCAAATGACTGGACCATGAGTGCTCAACGATGATTCTCCAGCCATGTTTTTCATAAAAATCAGCATGTGAGTTGCACAGCATCATCCCAAGAAACTTCATAACAAAATTTAAAACCGCACTGATGATGACAAAGTCACAATAAAAAACAGTGGATCCTTTGTTTGAGTGAATCAAGAACGATAACTACGAAGCGATAAGAAAAACGTGAGAAACACGTAGAAACACAAATAAAGGAATCATGGTTTGCTCGGCAGTGAAAAAGATCCTTTTCAGTATACCAATTTTTTCACACTACAAAAGTATCCCAAGTTAGTATCAAGTTACTTAATGCTCTCCACCATACAAATCGTTCTTACGGGGGATGCAGTTGTTGGATTAAGAGAGATGCAAAAGAGTGGAGATAAACTTGAAACAATTTTGTATAAATAAAATTCAGGCGTGATTGATGGACAAGGTTCTGACTTGCGGACTGTCGGATAAAACCAACAGGAGATCGATTTGAGATTACATTGTAATGGTGTTCCATAATTTCCTCAGTAAATTTATTAACAGATGGATCAGTTGACAGATCAGCAATTTAAGTGACAAAGCAATAGTTATTGTTCCATTCTAATAGTTAATTAGACAGACCATTCAAGGACTATTGAAGTGTAGTTGCAAAATGCTTAACAAACTAATGCTTTAAACTCTTTCCCCAAATGACAAGCCATTGATTTGCTTATAAATCCTGCAGTGGTACACCAAATTTGATCATTTAAATACGTTTAACTATGGTGCGCCCTGTTTCATTTTTATCGGGTGCTTTTTTCAGGAGACAATGATCATTTAATTATGAAAACTTTAAACGCCGTTCACGAGGTGAAATGTAAGACGCCAACTCCATGGTGATTGTTCCGTAGTACTTGTGTGGTTCACATTGTTTGGTGTGGTAATAGTTTTGAGGAACACATTTACTATTATTATATTGAATTATAATGAACTTTTGCATAAGAATTAGTGTACATTTGAGCTCGCTAATGATCGAGATGTTTCATAAAATAAAATGAGCTTTTATTCTCATGACTTTGAAGGCATGTGTGATTACTCAACGTTCAGCAATATAGAGTAACCAAACAGAAGGACAATGTTGTGAGCGTTTACGCTTATTGCGCAATCTACTGGCATAACAACTGAGTGCTTGCTCAGATTGCAACTTCGAGGGCGCAGTTCCTACATTTTTATCTAATTAATATCCGTTGTGTGTGCTATTATCGTTGTTATAATATTGGTCAATCATACATCCGTGCAATTTCTTCATGATTATCTTTTTCTAAAGGCACTTTGTTTTAGGGATTACTGTATGGCGATCTCTTGTAACGAAGTAGTATCTTGTTATTGTGAATTCACAACTTCAATGTCTTTGCGGTAACGAACTAATCCATATTTCATTGTGTGACGACATTTTTGACCCCCCTTTTCTTTAGGCTGCTTTTTCCTTGGGTTTTTCTTTATTGGTCTAACGTTGTCCATAACTTCAACGTAATATTTATTGATTTCCTTCAAAGTACTCCCACGTCTACCCCACTGATACCTGACGAGGCTCTTCGTGTAAAGTGTTTGTTTTTCCATTTACAAGCCATCATAGTTCATAACTATTAACTCTAGCCATCTGATGTTCATTATGATGAGTTTCTCAGGACTGAAATTCTCGTGTCATGTCTGAAGAAGGTTACAACTTGGAATAATGACTGTGTAATGATTGTCTAGTAAAAGTTGAAGAAAACCATTTTATTCTGTTCTATAACCAGGATTACAAAGAAACGCACTTCTGGTGATTTGGGTTCTCTTAGAAAGATCAATTGAAATCATTTCATGAAACAAGTATTTAACATGCGCCAATTTTTCCCTCTGATCCTAATCAACTAATGTATACATTTTTGTTTACGTTGCACATGTATTGCGCATTGTTCACAGCTGGGTGATACCTTTATCCGTTCATGTATTGATACGAGGATATTGGACTGCCTCTGGCATTCTCTCGAGCAGGTGTTTGACCTCAGTTTGGTCAATAATCCAACGCGTTCATTACATCCACCGGATTGGGGCATGCTATCACCTCGAGGTGTTTGTGTGGTGCTCCAGTTGGCCAAATTAATCTATAACAAGGTAAGTTCACGCGTTTTCCAACAAAAACTAATGAAATAACCCAGGAATTCGTGAACGGGATTTATGGAAAGATTTTTACACTCATGATCCCATGGTGTTTAACGTTTTTCAGAACTTATTTTTCCATCCTTTGCATTGCATAGAAGAACACCACAGAAAAGAACTGCATTTTATTTAACGGTGATTATATAGGGCATACTCTACAGCTCATCTATTCCACTACAGGGTAAACGTTTTCGAAATAAGTAAATATTAGGTTCACTATAAAATCGTGTTGGTCAGAATACTTTAAGGGATTTTTAATCACAAGTAATATGTTTGGCGAATCACCTCCGGTTTATTTGTAATTACACTGAGGTGCACGATAGTGCACGGTTACTGGTTGTACAAACTGAAACTGAAACTTTTGTTTTTTCTACTCGCATTCCAGTTTAATGTTCATAATTTATACAACTTGTCTATATTACATTTTCAGGAAAGAAAACACTGCTTGGAGGCTTTATGCACCAGTCGCAGTCAGATGCTGCACAGTCTGACATATTTGTTTACCAATACGTGCATCAAAAGCTTTTTACAAAGGTAAGATTGGAATATTGTTTTGATGAGTTGTGCTGATGAATCAAACGCTAGCAGCCGGGGTTAGATGAAACCTACAGTTTTCTTACTCACATGTATTTGTGCCTGTAGTCTACATATTTTGAGAAGATGCTTCTCATGATCTCGCGGATAACATTCCAAGTGACTGCTCACATATTCGAAGTTGAAAAAGAGCATTATTTGGTATTTTTTCTAGATAATAGCATTCGTGATAACATAAGTCAAATCTGTAAAGTATATTTTTAACGCTCAAACTCTGCTTTATACTGATAACTGAGTCCGATTGTACGGCTCATTTTGACCCTAGTTCATTACATAAATAGATGTTCACTGGAATTACATTCTCTCGTTTTCCACTTAACTTTGTTGGAGATTTGATGGTGAAAACAGCCCCGCGCATAAGCGAGGCTGGTAGCATCGAGTTGCTCCCAGATGGCAAACTGTTTGATCTGGAGTATGCAGACGACATTTTACTGCTAAGTGAAAATCCAAATAAGTTGCTAGCTTTTCTGGGTGGCTTGAGTGTTAGTGTAGGCATGTTTGGTATACGTTTTACGCCTTAACATTTCAAAACTATTGCTACAGGACTCGGTTGATCCAGCCCGCAAACTCACTCTAACTGATGAAGTAATGAGCAAGTGGACAGGGTTTGGTATTCTGCTGAGGTATCAGCTAGCATACAGATGGCTCGATTGGCATTTGATAACTTGGGATATCTGTCTTACCACCGCGATATCCGATTGTATGTGAAGGGTAATATATTTTGGATCATCTCGGGCAGTTTTGCTGTACGGTGCAGAACCTTGGCCATTTAGAAAATAGGATAAAGATAGACTGTCGATGTTCGAACACCACAAATTGCATAAATCTGTTCGGGCAACCAAAGAAGCAGTGCTGAGGTTAGGTGTAGAGTTTTAGGTGATCGGAGATGTGTTAGAAACGTGATGTTCGTGCATCTACGCATTATCTTTCAACTTTAGTCTGCCGGAATTCTCTATTTTCCTTTCGACACAGCTTTCAACTTTCCAATCTTTCTTCTAATCCTTCGCGCAAAGGGGTAGTCGTGAGACAGTAATCAAAACGAGCGCATAAAAGTGCATGGGTAATGGTTACACAGATTGAACTGAACTTATACCAATGTAGAATGATGAGACAGTATACCATTCATTTGTATAAGGCCAATTTTGAACCTGAGAGTTCAACTAAATCAAGCAGAGCGATAATAAACCTAGTCATTGGTAAATTGTTCAAGATACAGTTTTTGCATGTTCACATTCCTATCGATGAATTCACATGGACCCACACAATCAAGTGCCGTAAATAGCGGCAGAAATTGTTTTAACCTGAGTGCACTTCTAATATGCATAACGGGATTAGGTCAATTCAAGTCATCTTTTTTCTGTATCTATGCGAACAGCTTGTATGTCCCTGAGAGTTATCAAATCCCTACAGATAACGATCCACATGGCCGATGTGCCATACTACAAAAAATTCATTACCTTGGCTCATTCAACTAAGCATTTTGAGCCCCTGATCTCTCAGTCGCAAAAATTGTCATGCTGGTATTTCTCCAAAATACGGAGTGCAAATCATCAGTAAACCAGATACCTCCTGTTTTGAAAAATTGTCTTCGGATTGTTTTTGGTAAACCCAAGCAGCACATTTTGACATCCGTGGATTCAGAAGATTAATATCTTTGGATTAGTGATAAAAGAGAACTTTTTCATTCAGTAGTTTGTTTGCTTTTTTTGGTAAAATTATTCGAATGTACCTAAGGTAAAGAAAATCGAAGGTATGTCATTTACTCAACCTAATGTGTCAAGCACAGTCGCCAAGGGCATTTCGATTTACAACAAATGAAATGAAGGATTTATCATCACTTAACTTACCATCCTGATTTCATCAGTTGTTCAGCGCTTTCATCTGGTACTGTTTATTCCACAGAAGAAATAAGTTCCGCTTTTTATTGGGGCTGCTAAATGTTGCATCAGTTGTTGCATTATAAAATTTACTTCAAACTAAATACTGTGAAACTGAGATGTGACATCATTTGAATTTGAAAAAAGTTTGCAGGAAGTGTCTGCTGTTTATACCTATGAAGTTCAATTGATTCCGTTATATCGTGATAAATTTGATTCAACGCTTGATTAATATTAGTGTTATTCACATACTGTGTCGAATTTGCTGCTAATTACAACCGGATTACTTTTTACATTCGCTTATCTGAGCACGCGTACTGTCATCGCGATATGATGTATGATAAATGCATTAGAGGCAAGGCACACTAGAACAAACTCGGTAATCACATTCCATCGATTTGATAGTGATTGCTTTCTGTCGGTTATTTATTTGAATTAACCATTGGACGTACCGTGTGAGACAATTTTGTGAATATTAATCCGCTTAACTGCTTTCTCCACAAGCTAAACCGGAATTTGACGGAATTTATCATTAAAAGCGTTTCACCTGTTTTTGTTTTATCCTTCTATTCAACTGATTGTGGGACGTGAACTGAATATTTCTATGCCGTTTGCCAAGAGTTAAACTTGGAAATTTGAAATAAAGCTACTCGAAATTCTGTTTGTTTGATGTAATGAAACTTTGATAGCTCCCTTATCTAACACCAAACACCAAATTTGCAAAATCTGAATAAGATAAGCTTAGAATTATAACCTCGACAGAAGCGTAAACTGCGGAGCGTTTCTTTTTCGTCGAACTTATGTACACAGGAGGTACTTTTCATTTTCATTCATTGCTTTGGAAGTACTATTATATGGACTAAACATCACGTTGATTTTCTCAAGTTATATATATATATATGTGTATATTTATGTATAAATATTAAGATGTATTTGTTGTCATGTTTGCTCACGAATTTCAGCCCCTGGGTTACCGAACCGAGAAACGATTTCATTGGCAACCTTCAAGCATCTGCAGCAGAACTGCTACAAATGCCATTTACGGAAAACGACCAGGAACATTTGGATGCCATTCCAAGGTATGCTGATGNGATCGTGTTTGAGGAATATTTGCATATACGTGTCTATGAGATGTGTTCCTTCCAGTTTGTTGACCCAAACAGAAAACATTTTTATCATTCTGGCCTACCTAAACGAATTTGATGAGCATCGGGGAGAAAAAGTGAATACCCTGTTTCACATATGGATTCTACTGCGCGTGTGATTCGACATGCAATATTTAAAGGGCTCAAGGTGACTATTACGAAGAGTGCGGTTTATCGTCCTCTCCGTTGAACCAGGAGAATAGATAACTCAGAACAAAGCAAGAAAGATGAATTATTTATGGCCCTGTGTGTATGTGAATAGTATTTCTTTCAATTTAATCATGACCAACAATTGTAGCATATGACTACATCAAAATCTGACAAATATTAAGACTATTCAGTCATGACTGAATATTGCAGTTCAAGCAATGCTTTTATTAGAAATATTCAATTAACAGGCCGACGTAAAAAAACGTAAATGTCTTTTGACTTCCTCTTTTATTTGTTGAATATACAAAAGTACAGTCAACTTTCAGGAAGGGGGCTGCGGCCATACAAAGGCTACCTGGGTGCACTTGCTTTCAATTATTTGGTGTAACACATAACTGTATAGTCCACCAACCTCTGTATTGAGAATTTTTATTGTGTTGACCATCGCTGACCATTCACTGAATGTTTAATTCTTTGGGCCTAAATTTCAAAGGCGTTCATTATAGTCATTGGAGAATACGTGTTACTGTAAAGGTATTTCAGTCATTTTTTGAACATTTATATATAACTGTTTTCGTTTGTTCTCGGTATTTCTGAATCCGTCACACTAACGAGATGAGCACCAATCAAAAATGATGTAACGCTTATAGTCATCGTCTGCAGTTCATTTGTTGGAAGTTTTCCTATTCCCACAGAATCAGCCTAACAACTGACGGTTCTTGTGTAGAAACTTCGCTCATTGAAACATCAGACGCGTTTGTGACTAACTGGTTGACACGTTTTCCGAAATTCACTTCAGGTTTAGATGTATTTGTTTAATTAAGTTTAATTAAGAAGTACAGCACTTATCGCTTAATGGAGATGACATAATAAATATTAATTATTGCCAAAAGTAGAATAAGTGAATGACAATCACTAATCACAAGTAATTGTGAATTTTAAATGAAAAGTGAGTTCAAACTAAACGGGTCGTGTTGAGGATATCTACCCAAAGGCGCAGGGATGATGTAATCTAGTGGAAGTCCTCGATTGGAGCTAATAGGTTGCGTTCAGGTCAAACGACTGAATGACTAACACACTCTGAGAGCACCACCTGAGTAGACTTGAAATGATCATTCAAACTAAACCAGTTTGGTGCGAGTTCGCACAGTAGTACATATACCTTCCAGACAGTGGTTTCACTGTTCTAATCTCATACAGAACGGTGATTATGAACAAACGATCAACTCTAATACGAGTGAAATTCAAGTTTGGTGACTTTGATTGATAATCCATCAAAGTCCCTCTTCACAAACTGTTTTCAGCTCATTTAGTTTCGCATGCAGGGTCGATTTGATCAACTGAACATTTTACGTGTGAATGCGATGCAAAGCATGGCCAACGGGATCAATAACCTCATTTTTAAGAAAAATAGCTGGCACTAACTTCAATAGGAAGCGAAGGAAAACAGACTTCAAAATTCTTGAGCGTCGCCGGCTGTTATAGTGCTCAGAGCGGGCACTATACGCAGATAAATTTAGAGGTTTGGTCTATAATCCTCATACAGCAAAAACAGTGAAACACAATTTGCTGATTGCGGTCCAGCTAAAAATGGATAAAATGTACGTGTATATGTACGTAAGACTTTCAGTTTCAGTCTTTACAACCATTAACCCTGCACTTCCGTGCACCGGTTTTGGTTGCTGTCTTTTAGCTGCCCATTTAGATGAACAATAGGAGAAAGACAAGAAATTTGAATTCACAGTTGAAGAAAAAATGAAGAATTTCAGTGGGCCAAGTTTGCAAGGATATTGAGGAGATGCACGAAAACCACTGTTTACGACATTTATCTATATCACTCAGTGTCTCTAACTACCGGTTACGACCATCCTCAGGTCCCAGGAAGCCTAACGGGACCTATGTGGCCGAGTCTCCTGTTCAGGTTTTTCATACCCTCGTACCAGGTCTTATTTTGATCACCCTTGATATTTTTCCACCCACTACCTGCCTCGGCGAACATCACCGTGGAATTCTATTATCCAGTGACATGCATAATAAATGCTCCAACGAACGTAATCTATGGAGGTCGACCACTTGTCCCAGCAGGCGACCGCTGTCAAATTAATCGTTGCGTCAACCTCAGCATTGCTTGTCCGGTTACCTCACAAGACTCGTGCAATGCGGCGGTGTTCGAACACCAAAAATCTATCTTTATCCCGTTCCCGTAATGGCCAAATTTCTCCAGCATATGGCAGAACTGGACCAACTTCTTCAGCGTCACTCAACCCTTCACGAACAGACAAATGTCTGCGCCACAGATGTCTCAAGTTAGCAAACGCTAATCGAGCCTTCTGTATGCAAGCCGAAACTTCATCGGCGATGCGTCTACCGGGTGAGATATAGCTACCCAAATAACAAAACTTGTTCACTTTGTCTATTACTTCATCAGTTGGAGTGAGGCTGCGGGCTAGACTAACCCAAACTAGTAGCAACATTTTACACTTTGACGGTACAAAACGCATACCGAATACTACACACCAGCACTCAAACTATTCAGAAAAGCTTGCAGCCTACGGAGATGTTCGCTTAGCAATAAAACGTCATCCGCATACTCTGGATTAGACAGTCTGCCCTTTGGGATCAAGTCGATGCCGCTATCCTCACTCGAGGAGAGGAATGTTTCCAAAATCAAATTTATAGCAAAGTTCAGTAGGGAGGAAGAGATAGAGCAACCCTGACGAACACCACTGTTTGTGGGGAATCCGGTCGAAAAAGTGCCATAAGTTCCGATACGGTTTCGGCTATTGGTATAAAGGGATTGTTAAACTGAAATAAACTTCTCGGGCACACACTTCAGGGAAAGGCAGCACCAGAGTTCTGAGCGGTCGACTGAGTCAAAAGCCGCTTTCTGATCGAGGAAGATAAAAATAGTGGATCTAAGGAAGGAGTGTCTGTGTTCTAGAATTGGGCGAAG